AATAATTAAAAATAAATTAAGAAAGTAATAAATTAACGAATCAAACAAAACGGGAAAACAGTGACGAGGAAAGTCAATTTAACCTCAACATTAGTATCCTCAAAAATGACACTGTTTCAGGAATATATCATATTTTTGATTACATTAGAGAAGAACTAAAAAGGCGAAAGATATGTTTCTGTTCTTCTGCTTTCGGACGTCTCTGCCTCTTGATTGGTAGAAACGATCGTGAATGGGCGTGTCTTAGCGGCGTGGCACTGTCTGCGGGGCGGGGCCTTGGGGTCGTACAGGAAAAGATAAAGAAAGCGAGGACAGCTGTAACGAAAACGGTAAATAAATACGCATACAAAAACGCCTCTGGTACTTACAATCGATATGTTCATTAATTTCCCATACGGTCTACAGCCAATATTGCCGAGTAACCTTTTTAAAACCACTACATTGAGTAAAATTATGCCTTTTATATGCGACTAGCTCAGTGCTAATAGGCTAAGTGTGATGATGACGGAAACGGACGAACAACAAGATGCCGAACATGAGTTTATAATCGTATTAAAGTCCGATTATCAAATCCGTAACACGTCTGGAAAGGCTAATACAAGTGTTGATTTGTCGATCCAGTCTAATCCAACCAAATTGTGCTAATGTTACACTTATTAGGGCGTGAGATGAGGCGTCCCAGTTAGCATAGGGAGTAAACCGGGGACTGATCCATTTGGCTCAGACATGCGGCTGTTATAATCACCATCGCTAGTTTATTCTCCAACATAACAGCCAGTTAACGTCTATTTTATTCCCCATTAAGACTCCAGTCTCGTTGAATCAGAGCTTGACTCAATGTTAAACTACAAAAGGTTACTTGAGTGACAATAGGTTGACCTGACTGACTGCATTCAGCTGTTTTTGTGGTTGATCTAATCCGATGTGTCACAGATTTTGGCATAACACTTGTATTGGTTAGTTAATTGAGTAGGGTGCGGTGTGTGAGGAGAGTTTGATGCTGCAGTGCTATAATAACATAAGAAACCAGTGTACAGATTGATGAATGTACTGAAATATGAATATAGGCGTACCTAAGCTAAGACCATGTACTATATAAGCTCACAAGTTGTTTTATTTTGGAATATAAAACAGGCAAAGCATGAGATACATTGTTTGACTCAAAGGAATCTATTTTTCTTAATAAATACATGCAATCTGATATTATTACAGGGCTCAACACTAAGGATTTTTTTACTTGCCCTGCCAAAATAAAATACAAATATTTTTTTGTTACATTGTATTCTAATAAATGTTTTTTAGATATCAGTGAAATTTCACAATTCTCATATCTACATAAAATATATAGATGAATTCAAATGAAACAAACGTGTTTAATACAGTAATGAAACTGGTTGATGAATGAATGCAATCTGAATATTTGAAAACATGGATTTCACAAGAATATGGAGTTGCCAATAGAACAACAAAATGTAATAAAAACATTGTAACCACATTGAGTACATAAAAGTATATATATAATAGGCTTCTTTATAAAATATGCTCATGCTCTGTCTGTAATTATAATTCATAAATATAACTTTTTTGTCAAGTTGGTGTATTGGAATGCACCATTGACCCCCAATTGTTCCTAAAACGCCCACTTAGACATTAACTTAATTAATTGAGCTTACAACACAAGCTTTTAATTTATGAACTTTACCCACTTTTCATTATCATTTTCATTGTGGGGACAAAATTATAGCAACTTAGCAAGTGATGATAGGTTATTGTTGAATGGATCCTCAGGAATGTCAAATTCCAGAACTGTAATCCATTGTTCATTTCTATCAGTAGTTCTTTGATTAAATATGTTGGTTATTAATACATGTTTTAATAATATGTGAAGTATACATAACACATAGTGGGCTTATTTGTAACACAGGTGGCTTTAAATGGTACCATGTTCATTTTAAGCCCACTCCAGACTCACGTTTGAAAATTTTCACTTGCCTCCTGTAATTATTGGCTGATCTTTCCATTTTGTGTGACAGATGGCTGCAATTCGTAAGAAGCTTGTAATCGTTGGAGATGGAGCATGTGGAAAGACGTGTTTACTCATTGTATTCAGTAAAGACCAGTTTCCTGAGGTCTACGTACCCACAGTGTTCGAGAACTATGTTGCTGATATTGAGGTGGATGGCAAGCAGGTGAGATCGTCTTCTAACATCAAACTATTACAGAACATGTGTCTCTTCTAGAGCAGTTTGAACTTATGCAGTTTATTTGAAATGAATGGGGTTTATTCTGGGTCCACAATGAGTAATTGTCTTATGCTGTTGTTGGAAGACAAACTAAAATTATAATATAACATTATAGATATATAGTTAAATATACAATATATAACATGCAATACTGTTAAAAAGCTTGGGGTTAGTAAGATTTTAAAATATTTTTGAAACAAGTCTCTTATGCTCACCAAGGCTGCATTTATCATTAAAAACAGTAAGATTGTAAAATATAATTACAATTTAAAATAACAGTTTTCTATTTTAATATATTTTAAAATGGAGTGATTTATTCCTGTGATACCAAGCTGAATTTTCAGCATCATTACTCCAGTCTTCAGTGTCACATCATTCTTTAGAAATCATTCTAATATGCTGATTTGATGCTCAAGAAACATTTCTTACTATTAGTATTAGCATTGTTGATAACAGTCGTGCTGCTCAATATTTCTGTGGAAACTGAGGATCCAGGGTTCTTTGATGAATGGAAAGCTCAAAGGAACAGGATTTATTTGAAATAGAAATCTTATGTGAATATTATGAATGTCTTTACTGTCACTATTGATCAATTTAATGCATCCTTGCTAAATAAAAGTATTAATTTCTTTAGAAAAATCGTATTGACCCCAAACCTTTGAATGGTAGTGTAATTATAAATAAAAACGGAATAATTATTGAACTTTTTACACAAATTGTAATGCTGATAATATCATTTTTAATCATTTTGTTGTCAGGTGGAACTGGCTCTATGGGATACAGCTGGACAAGAGGACTACGACAGGCTGCGGCCCTTGTCCTACCCAGACACTGATGTCATCCTCATGTGCTTTTCCATAGACAGCCCTGACAGTTTGGGTGAGAGAATCCATCTCTACCAGTCTTTAATATGAATTATATTCAAGGCTAATTTAGTGACTACTTTGAGACTATATGGATTTACTAAGACCAAATTGCTGTGGTCACTGTATTGAAAACCTTGTTCTGTTCACACAGAGAATATCCCAGAAAAATGGACGCCAGAGGTAAAACATTTCTGTCCAAATGTTCCAATAATTCTGGTGGGTAATAAAAAAGATTTACGGAATGATGATCACACTCGACGGGAGCTGCTGAAGATGAAACAGGTGTGTGAGCATAACACTTTCTACTCTAAACCGATATTATACTGATTTTTATAAAACAGTCACTATATTAAAATGGAAATAACATAAAAGTTAGATGACAAAAAAATAATGGAACTAAAAGAGAAAAATGGTTGTGTTTCAATGTTATTATATTGTATTTAGAGATAAAGAAGTGTACTAATGCCCTTTCAATGCTTCCTTCCTCGAACAGGAACCAGTTAAACCAGAGGAAGGGCGAGACATGGCTAATCGCATCAATGCCTTCGGCTACCTTGAGTGTTCAGCTAAAACTAAGGATGGCGTGAGGGAAGTGTTCGAAATGGCCACAAGAGCGGCGCTCCAAGCCAAAAAACGTGGCAAAAAGAATGCCTGCGCTTTGCTATAGAGAACGAGAGACGAAAAGAAAGAACGAGGGAGGGAAAGGGGTAACCAAACTAGGCCAAGGAAAATGAAAAGTTCGCAAATAGAGGGAAGAAACGCCCCTAGTGTTAATTATGTACTCGGGGTGGGGGGTCAGGGAGGGTCATTTTCAATCCAGGCCAAAGGAAACTACAGAAGATAGTAGGGACAACTTCACCGGCAAAAAAGGGACTTAAACATTTTTATGGCCATCAGTCCTTTTTTCAAATCAAGATTAGTTGACCTTTAAGCCTTCAGACGGATCACAGGCGTAAGGATAGTGTATTTGTAGGGTAAATAAAGATTGACGTGGTTTCACAGTGGCTCACAATCACCGATTGCTTTAGGGGTGGGATTACTAGTGATGTATTCTTTGGCCCATAGCACATCTGATTTGAAGATCAGCACTGTAAGCAAGAACAGAAACAAACGACTTGGTCTAAAAAGATTCCTTTTTTGGCACCAAGTGCATTATTCAGGGTGTAAAAGGCATTAGTTAGTACTCTACATCATGTGTGCTACATGTCAAGCAGGGAGTTGTTTTTTTGGATCAAGATATTGGCCACACAACGTAATACTCCCATGATGCCCTTTGTAAACCTCCCAGGAACCCAGTGCCGTCTTATGTAAATCATTCATGCCTGTTCTCCGTACTACGATTTTCTTTTTTTTTTTCCTACATTAACATGCTAATATTGTTGGTTAACACAACTGGTTCCTCTGTGCCCTCCTGTCCTGTCGCAAAATTGACGGTTTAGTCACTGGTCTAAAATAGCTGAAAGTAGTGGTAGTGTTACGATTCTTTATTCCAATAAGATTTAAATATATCTTGTGCTTTTTTGCCATTTGCCTATAAAAGTCGAAGTAAGATGCATTAAGCAATGATCATACTAATTCACCTTTTTTTGGGAGTATTTTATGTGCTTGCTCGTGTATTATAATTAAAAAAGAAGAAACTTTGGGTTTATCAGCCCTTGTGGAGCTCAAAGCAGAACTGCAGCTCTGTATGTTGACTGTCAAGACACTGTTCGATTTTGGCAATATTTTATAATAGGTGACAGTAACTTAATTTTTCCCCATATTCCTCTTTGCCTGCATGACAGGCTTTTATTTGGTGTGCAGAAATAAAAGTAATATTTATCTCACTGTGTAAATGAGAAACTCCCTCCATTTCACTTCCATTTGTTTTCTTTTTCTCCTGTACTGTATGTTTTCATATTTTTTTTTGTGAAATTCTACTGGCTTATACTATATCTTTTTTGCGTATTTTACAAATTCTAGTATCTTAGAATTGAAACGTTTTAAAAGAAATAAAGAAGGAAAAACGTAGCAAAATGTGATTTTGAAAGAGCTGTTTAATGCCATATTATTAAATGCAAGTCATTTCTTAGAAGAGATTCTGCATTTCATTCTAAGAAAAAAAAAAGAGCCTTTGATGCATCAATTATCTTTTGTATACCAGTGCATCTTTGGATTTCCACAGACTCGTTTGAAATGCATTGAAAAAAATAAATTCTTATAGGGTACTTTTTCTTGGGTCTTTATTTTGTCTCTTCTCCAGTTGATGTTTGCGTAAAATACCTCATTTCTTCACCAGCTAGATGTGGTCTTCAGTAAACGAGTACACATGCTGACAATGTTGGGAGTTAAAAGCAGAGGTAGATAAAATAAATACCAATCTTTTGCAAGTTGACCAGTTGCACGTCACCAGTCAGTCTTTATAGTGATCTGTGCAATCCAGCCACAAATTCGTGATAATAGGGCTCTGAAATGAGAGGAAACGCAAGTTAACGTTTTTTTTCTCATCATAAATGACAAACTATCAAATTCTACCAGGTGATCTGACACCAAACCTGAGTCTGGCTCAATGATGGCGTGTCTGATGAGGAAGTCCAGAACCACCATGGCACAGTTTGGCTTAAACTCCTCACTGACCAGGAGATCTTTCACCTGAGAACACATCAGACAGGGGAGAATAGGGGGTAAGATGTGCCACCCCTTAATCTAGGAAACTCCACACATTTTGTCCTTTATATAGAAACAGCCCTTCAAATACAGCTGCCCGAGATGAAAGTGAGTATTTTCTATGCAGAAATCTTTTTTTTTTTTTTTTTTTTGCCTGCAATTTACTACATGTAAAATGACATCTATGTCAAAGCAAACTTTTATGTCACAGCTTATCTTATATAAAATACATCACATAGCATTCAACCCTAAAATCAATGGGATGCCTTTACCTTCTCGATTGGATAGTAGTAAAATGCTTGCACTTCTCCGTCTCCAATATGAGGCTGAAAATTCAGTGGCAGCTCTAAATCAAAGACAAACTGACACTCAGGAAATATTCCTTCGTCATCTTCGTAGGTGTAGCTACAGAGACAGAGGGAAGCATGAATTGAAGATTCAAGATTGCAGAACGTCTTTCAATTTAGCTAAACATAGTAAACCGTTTCCAGGCAGAAATTATGCCGGTGACAACAGGCGTTCATGTCTTTGATCACAGTGACATCTTCCAGACTTGAATTCTGGTCATCTTCCCTTGGGCGCTTGCAATATTTCTCTGGAAGCCTGCCAGTTGGAGGCTATTTCTGGCTATTTAATCTGTCTCTTTTGCAAGAGAGTTGTGAGAGTTTATATCAACCTTGGTATCTGGGAAAGGTTTTGAATAGGAAAAAACGGTAACGTGCATCTTTAATCTTAAAAATCATCAGTTACCAATAGCTTTTTTGCTTCATAAAAGGTTCTAAATCATTTTCAATGACCCAAGTGAAATAGTGGGATAGAAATAAAAAAAAAGAAGAAGAAAGGATTATGCACCTTACAGTTCCCACGGGACGCGCTTGCTCTGCCAGGCCTGGAGGGATGCAGGCCTCCTCTCCACACTCTTTTACCAATGTATGCCTTACACTACAGCCTGCTGCCAGTCCTCCAGCCGCCTGAATGATAAATCAAATCAACCCAATTAAATCAAAGTTGGAGATTTGTGGTTATGTTTGTTATCTTCAAGGTCATCTATATGCTAATGTACTTCTAAAAGACAGTAGTAATTTATATAGCACACATAATTACAATTTTGCAGTCTTTATTTATTACTCCATATGTTTATATATTAATAACTTTATACACTAACATTCAAAAGTTTGGGGTCGGTAAGATTTATTGTTTATTAAAAGTCTCTTATGATCACCAAGACTGCATTTGATCAAAAAATACAGTAAAAACTGTAATATTGTGAAATAATATTACAATTTAACCCTCTGGTACAGTACTGTTCAAAAATGACCGAATTCTTTTTTTTATTTCAATGAAATGGTTGTACTATATATTAGCTTGATAATGTTATTTATTTAATATTTCGTATTTTTAGGGGATTTTATGGTACTAAATTATATTTAAGCAGTAGTTATAATCCATTTATTCATGTTTTGAGCATGGGCCTGAAAATGAGATTTCCAACTTAAACTGTCATAAATCTTGAATGCGTTGGAGCACAGACTTAAGTTTGGTCTATTTTTAAAGACGACACTTGGCAGATTATTGCCGAAGTGAAACAAGTTTTAAAGTAAATTTTTTAAATACCATTTTCAATTGTATATGAAATATATATTTTCCTAAATCAAAGCCATAAACGTAAACAAGTTGTGTTCCAAATTTGAGGTTGATATCTCAAAAAAATTAGCTTTCAGTAAGATTTTGTTTGGCCGCAGTACCAAACGTTTCCAATAGATGAGATTAGCCTTCCATTCATTTGCAATGCGGTAATTTTGAATTTTTTTTTATGTTCACATAGCAAATGTCTAAACCTTTACCAAGTTTTGTACCATTCCGATGAAAAAAAAAACCAACCTTTTTGAATTTTTTAGATAAAAAATGACTGACCAGCACCAGAGGGTTAAAATAACGGTTTTATATATATATTTGTGATTTTCAGCGTCATTACTCCAGTCTTCAGTGTCACATGATGCTTCAGAAATCATTCCAATATGCTGATTTGGTGCTCAAGAAATATTTCTAATTCTTATCAATGTTGAAAACGGTTTCAGTATTCTTTGATAAACAATTCAGAACAGCATTTATTTAAAACAGAAATCCTTTGTAACATTATAAAATACTTTACAGTCACTTGTGACCAATTGAATACATCCTTGTGGATTAAAACTATTAATTTCTTCTTAAAAAAAAAAAAAAAAATTACTCACCCCAAAAGTTTAAACAGAAGTGTATGTTTGAGAGGTCCAACTTCTTGCTCAACCAAAGTTGTTAGTTTGGTGTGGCACTAAATTGTAATGAACTGATTAATTTGTGTATTAATAAATCATCACCATGTTGTCCAGTCTTCCTGGATACGTCTGTTTGGTCAGAGATCGTCGTGCCAGCCACATATTAAGATTGCCACTTGAATCCCGAGTGTAGCCATTGACATGGACGCCGTACCGTTTCACTCCGAACAGACCTGCGTTTGACCATTATTTATAAACAGCTATAAGTGTCACTTGGTCTGTGACAAAGTAGAAGCATGAAATTAATATTTTATTAACATACTTGTAGCTGCTCTCTCCATATACATCAGCGGAGGATCGCAATACCTGGGCATCACAGCGTATTGCTGAAAAGAAATGCACTCTGATAAATATAAAAGAATCAGGGTCTGAATTATTAAACAAGGGAAAAAAATGCTACTTTAGTGAATTATTCTGGAGCTTTTTATTTAAAGTGCCCCATTATGCTTTTTCAGATATTAACTTTCATGCAGTGTGTAATATAGCTGTTTCTGAATGTAAAAGGTCTGCAAAGTTTCAAAGATCAAAGTGCACGAAAAATAGCTATTGTCTCCCAAAAGAAAGAGCTGATTCTGAACTGCCGAAAACGTGTCTGCAGTAATTACAGTCTTACTTCCTGCTCGAACCTGTGTAGGTTTGTAACAAATTTGCTAAATAATTGCCTATGGTCTTCATTGGCTGCTCGCGAACAACGTCTACTTTGACCAGCCCTCAAAGACTGTAGTTGTAGCTGAGGCCTGGAAGAGTTTGGTAACCGCTGGGCCTGTAATTCAGATATGATAATGGGCATTTCGCTTCTGACAGACGATCTAAGTGGTAGACCAATCACAACAAACTGGGCCATCTGACCAATCAGAGCAGAGTTGGCTCTCGGAAAGGAGGGGTTTAGAGAGACAGAATCCTTCATCAAACCATTTCAGACTAGAGATGGGATTTATGGCTCTTTGAGGAGATCCGGATCTTTGCGATCCGTTCCTTTCAAAGAGCCGTTCAAAAGAACGGCTCTTTTGGCTCTTTTTAAATATTTAGTCAGTTTAAAGAAGCCAGCTTGGGGGAATCTCAGTTTATCCTGGAAATAATCACTGGGAGGAATGATGAGGTGAGATTTGTAGTCAATTAATTAAAACTCAGATATCACACACCAATATCTGAGTTTGAATTATTCTGAAATATTGATTATTACCTCATTTGTCATGTGTGGACTATATTCCATAGGGTTGCACAACATCCCTCTGCTTAGAAAGTGATATCACTATTTTGGATTTACCTTTAGTACAAAGTATGTGTATGTGTAAAGCTATGTTGACTTATGTTATTCATACAATACCACAAGAACATTTTGATAAAAAACAAAAACTATTTAAAGTTGTAAATATATACTGTAGATACAATAACATGAACACAAAGGGGTTTATTTTTTTTTTTTTAACTGGAGTAACCATGTGACGGCATAAGTCATTGGCTCTGCTCCTACCCAATGACAGCACGTAGGGTTTTTTCCCACTGGAGTACTCACGTAAAGGATGCGCGCGCGTGCACAACTATCATCATGCTGTTAGGCAGTAGCACCCCTGCGCTGGATGCGCCCCTTCCCCTATAACTGAGGAGCTAATTTGTGTGCATCTGTGTGAAACACGCATGAAAAAAGAACGACAGAAAGAACGGCTCCCCTCCAGCCGCGACTCGGCTCCCATCGTTCATGTTTATGAGCCGTTCAAAAGAATCGGTTCGTTCGCGAACGTCACAACTCTATTTCAGACACTGTGAGAAAAGAAGTGATGCTGCAATGTACATTATGAGAAAATAACGTTTTTTTGACCTAGGATCCATGTAAACATAATAGGAGACCTTTAAAATAGCATAATAGGGACACCTTAACATCATTTTTTTAATGTAAATTGATGTCATGATATGTTGTGTTATATGATAGTGGAAGCCCTTGAAACTCATGTCCATATTGCTCATTATTTCTGACACTGGAACAAATTGAAACAAATGTTTAAAGAGTAAGGGTGAAGATGGGTAACTATCTATCATGTACCAGATATGTCTCACCTCATCTCTCCAGCCTATAAGACAGGTGAATGATGCCTCTCTCCTCAGCTCCTGCAAGACCTCATCCACAGCCACTGATCTGCTCTCAAAAGTGTCAACACTGTAGCAGAAGGTTATAGAGCTCCCATAAGGTCTGAAGACAGAAGGAAAACGACCAAGAGTTGATGCTACTTTTGGGGAAATCCATCCAACCTGTTCTCCGGCCACCTCAAAACGTAGACAGCTCTCTAAACTAGAACCTGGAATAAAATAATGCACTGATGTCAAGTAAATAAATGCATTTTACATGTAATACATGAAATAACACAGTAATAAATTATTTTCCTTGCACCTTGAATACAGGCAAGTATACAGAACTTTAAAAAAAAGTGTTGATATGTATAATAAAAAAAACTATGTTTTACTAATTGCTCATCATCTTTGTTACTATAAATAGATTTTTCGAAGTATTTTACAGATCAATAAATCAAATTTAAAAAAAGACCAACCCATACATGGCTTGTCCATTCACACTGGATCACATGCAAATGTATTGTTCTGTCAATTTATTTCCCCACCTGGTAAATGAAAGTTATTCATTCGACGCAGGAGTTGTAGCATTTTCTCCGACCACGAAGTCATTTGTCGATTTCACACGTGTTACAGTTAATTATCCGTTCAGAAACCGTGATTTATTAAATTGGGGGATTTGAGCTTGTCGTTGACATGCTGTCACACACCCACGGGCTTCATGCTCGCCTCCATTGTTGCATTTCCTGTTGATGTGAGCCCTGATTGGGTGGCAGGTGCGATTGATCTGCGGGCTGATTGGCTGAAGCTCTATGACGAGTTCTGAAGGGCTATGACGAGTGTTGCTCATAGGTGTTTCTCCACTAGAGGGCGAATGTAGATAAAAACAAAGGCCACTTGTTATGTTACTGGACTAAAATACTTTGCAACGAAGGCTGAAGCTAACCAGATATGAAAAGTCATGTTAGCTCTCCATATACAGTGCTAAACGGTTTATTGTTCAATTATCATGTTATTATGTGGAAATTGCACCTACTGTGAATTGGGTCATTAGGCCTACTCATTAGTAAGTTTATGAGTTCACATCACATCATATAATCTTTAAGTGAAATACTTTGTGCTTGCTGTCCATTATGAAGTGTTTGATACAATAGACGTAAATAGATACAGATGAAGATGACAGTGAAACAGCAATGAGGTAAGCATCGATTTACATAGGCTACGCTTCTGTTGTGATTGACAGTAGTATTATGAACATGCTCATTCGTTTAGAACTCGATTTAAAATTAAAATGTGACAATTGATAACCATAATTTGAGTGAAATAACCTTATTTGAATGACAAAATATATCATGACCCATTACATACTTTTTCACTCATCTTTGGGTCTTCAACTTTGATGCTCCACAAAACTGAATTAACCATAATTTCCAACAAAAAGATGCATTAGATACAGTCGACTCGACATACAGTCAGGCTTTCTACTGCTTTTGTTCGACTGACTGTGTTCAACTTTGACCAAAGACTGACAAAGAGATGCATTACAGATACAGATAGGGAGAGAGAGGGACAACTAAAATATTGGTTGCATTACACTTGCTGTAATCTGCACCACAATCTTGGGGTCGAGTCTCCCTCTGAGCACTAAAAATATACAGACAGTAATCACTGTTGTTAGAGAGGACTGAGAACTATCTAGTTGTAGGCGTTTTTTTAATGAGTCAAGAAAAGCAAACTGTTCCAAAACACACAGCTAGAGAAGAGATAAACAGAAGAGATACATTTCTTTATGTGTTGCTATCTATCTATCTATCTATCTATCTATCTATCTATCTATCTATCTATCTATCTATCTATCTATCTATCTATCTATTTTTCTAATGTTCTATCTATTTGTCTGTCAGTCTATCTATCTATCTATCTATCTATCTATCTATCTATCTATCTATCTATCATTTTATCTATCGTTTTAGCTATCTATCTATCTATCTATCTATCTATCTATCTATCTATCTATTTATCTAACTATCTATACTGTATCCTATCTATCTATCTATCTATCTATCTATCTATCTATCTATCTATCTATCTATCTATCTATCTATCTATCTATCTATCTATCTATCTATCTATCTATCTATCTATCATTTTATCTATCGTTTTAGCTATCTATCTATCTATCTATCTATCTATCTATCTATCTATCTATCTATTTATCTAACTATCTATACTGTATCCTATCTATCTATCTATCTATCTATCTATCTATCTATCTATCTATCTATCTATCTATCTATCTATCTATCTATCTATCTATCTATCTATCTATCTATCTAGTTTTCTAATGTTCTATGTATTTGTCTGTCAGTCTATCTATCTATCTATCTATCTATCTATCTATCTATCTATCTATCTATCTATCTATCTATCTATGTATCATTTTATCTATCGTTTTAGCTATCTATCTATCTATTTATCTAACTATCTATACTGTATCACTATCTATCTATCGTTCTATTTTTCTATTTATTTGTCTGTCTATCTATCTATCTATCTATCTATCTATCTATCTATCTATCTATCATTTTATCTGTATGTCTGTCAGTCTGTCTATCTATTAATCTATCATTTTATCTATCGTTTTATCTATCTGTCTGTCTATCTATATATCTATCTAATTTTATCTATAGGTTTATCTGTCTGTCTGTGTCTATCTATCTATCTATCTATCTATCTATCTAAATGTTTTTCATTCTCTACAGTATGAGTTCTCTAAACAGTCTGGGCGGTATTTATCATGTTCTCGACAGGCTTGGCTCCAGCCAAGTGTGTGGACGGATGGGGAATTCTAGGAAAAAAGTAAACACTGATTCTCAAGTTGTCATGAAGAAAATGAACACATTAGACTGTTTGCTGTCTGAGGTCGGCTTAGTTCAATTGTATATTAAACCATATTTTTGGAAGTGTCTTTATACAGTCTCATTCCAGAAATGGACCACAGCTGAAGGATGGTGCTAAAACGATTTCTGCGTTATTTGTTTGAGACATTTATATCTGGTATAACCTGTTTTTGGTCAGACTCTGAGCTGATGTACGAGGTAAACCCGAAGACAGGAAGATGTGGGTGGCGTGTTTACCTGATTAAAATGATTGTTTGTCTTCACAAAGATTCAGAGTTTTTATTTTTGAATGAAAGACAGGAAGCTCAGGGCATGTCTAATGGGGGAGTATTACATCCAATTGCCTAATACTTTTCTGTGTGGGAGGCAAAAATAAAGAAAGGCTATAACAAACTGGGGTGTAAGAGATGCAAACAGAATTAAGCAAAACTAATTGACTTATTTGTCCCAGCCTGCTCTAAACACATTTTATATAATCACAACAGGCTTACACTTGTGTGTTAATGTTGTTGTCTTTCATTCAAAAATAAAAACTCTGAATGTTGTGTTAGCGAACACATATTACGGTCCATATTCTGAAAAGCCTTTATTCTGATAAAAGAGGTTTAAATGCTTTAGGTTATTCCAGTCTTCCTGTACACATGGTAATTAACATGTAGTCTTTTCCTGCTGTTTTCTTCTTGAAATAATGCGCTCCTTTTGTTTTGTTGTTTATGTTTATTTTACGATTAAAGTTACGTTTAACGTCTGCCTCCTTCTTCCCTGAGCTTTAACTGTGTTACAGTTACGTTTGATAACTTAAATTCAAATAATTTCATTTCATTCTAATTAAATAGTGCTGAATTAATTTTCATACAGGTCACTTTATTTGATTAATTAAAATTGTGGGGTAACACAGCGCTGTTTTACTTAGTCAAAGCAATCATACTCAAATAAGTTTGAGTGTGTTGAAAGTTGTTATAACGTTACTCTGTGCGTTCGCTCGGTGGCTGCTATGAGACACTTCTTGCACACTGCAGTAAGCTAGATCAATATTAGAATATCATATTAATAAAAGCTAGATGACTTGTAAATGCCATGCAATATTTTAAAATATATTTTCTGGTGGAGAAAACGAATAAAGATCTTTCTGATTTTGCTATGTTTGTCACATGGTTTTTACGGAAGTCAAACCGAAAATCGACGGTAACGCGGATATGAATGACATCATTGACAGGCGACGCAATGACACGGGCCGTTACACTGGTTAAAATTGCTGATGTCTCTGGATTTAAACATTGTTGGAAACATTTGGGATCATGTGGGGAAACAAGTTGACAAAATATATAACATTGTGCCTTTATTTTTGTTAACAAATGTACTTTTTTTCTAGCTGGATTTAGCCTATATGCAGGGGTTCAGAATATGTAGACTTGAGGCCACATAGCAACGTCCTGGCAACGACCCACAACAGTTGAGAATCGTGGCGAAACATTGTATTAAGGTAATTTTAGTTTCTGATTTGAATAATAAAACCACGCAGAAAGAAATTGGAATGTTATTGAATGAAGTGGTTGTCATGGCAACAATGCTTGTATGCAGAGAGTTGGTCATACTAAACAGAAAGAAGCCGCATGGTCAAGCGAGGTTGCAAAAGGCAATGGAACTTGAAGAATGTCTCAGGAGTGTGGTGCCGTTGGCCCTTCGACAAACAAAGCTAGCTTTCATATCAACGGCTCCCTATGGTCCAATGTTTTCTCTGCTCTTCCATCAAACTTGCACTAGCAGTGAAGCACAAAAAAAATTAGCATATCAAGAGAGACTTAAATGAATGTTTTATTCATCAACACAAATCTGAAATCCCACACACTGAAAGTGCATCCATTGACGTCAGAACATTAAATCGTGTCAAAGATAAGATTTTTTTTCCGCTCAAGGACGCTCTAATAGTTTGTTTGGCTCTGGGGACCGATGGGCGTTTGTTGAGAGGGAAAGGAGAGGCGGTTGGTGGGTCTTCAGGGCAAATGAAAGAGGCGCTTTGTTGAAACTGTTTTCTTTTTCTTTTTTCCCTCTCACTCCCCTGCTTCCGTTCCATTCCTTCCTCCTCACTCTCTGCTCTCACCTTTGCATTTCTTTTTTTTTTCTTAGAGGGATGGGTTGAACATGATTTCCAGAGGCAGAGAATATAACTGGCCTTTCAGAAGGTGCAGCCCTCAGAGTCATTGAGACAGCTGTCTCAGCCAGACCTGAACTGACTCAAGCATACATTCACAATGTACAAGTCTTTAGCTTTGTGTTTGTGCCTGTGTTTAGCGCTTTTAGCAGCTGAGGGAAAACGGGAAAGAGGAAGAGGAGAGAGACAGAGGAGCTCCAGGCGCTTCTTGTCCGCTGAGGATGCGCTTGAGTATGATAACCCTTTCCTTCCTGGTGAGCAATGCTTATAGCATTTTATTTAAGTAAGAAAATATTTTCTAATATTGTGATTTTATATTAAAATGTATATTTGTATTCATATTTATTGTGCAGTTGTTACTGTTGAAAAGTAAGTGGTTATTTAATTTAAGCAACAAAAACAAAATTGGATATTTAAAAGAAGATATATTTATATCTATTGCACAATTGTATTCGCCAAAAAAAGAAGTGGTTATACTGAGTTATGTTGAGTTAAGATGAATAGTCTTATAAATGTATGAATGGCATTGCATTACAAAACATCAAATCAAGTGGCATTTATTTGACAGATAACACAAACACATACTTTTCAAGCTGAAGCTACACCATTGTGAACTTCAAGGAAACTGACATCATACATCCACTAAAAATATTTTTTTTATATTATATTATTATTGCCACATATTTAATCCAAAGATAT